GTGCTTGGGCGGGGGGCAACAGTGGGAGGGCTTCTGGAGTTCTGGCCCCACTACTGGACCTCCTGAGGGCACCTGGTATTTCTGGCCACTGTGTGACAGAGTGTTGGACTGGATGGGCCTTTGGCCTGATCCAACATTGGTGTCTCTTATGTTTTTATGTTCACCCCGGACTGAGACCTGGGGCTGCCTTCTGACTTCGGATTTCGCTGTGCTATTGGACCCTGGACTGTGATTTTTTGGACGGTGACCCGAGAAGCCCTCCTGTCAGAGCCTGTAACTACTGGGAGTGGCCTCCCCCCCCCGGGGGGGCCAGGACAGGCTGGCTATAAAGACTTCTAAAGTAGGTGGTAAGAGGGAGGCCCAATTCCAACCCGATGGCCAGTGCAGCTTAAGCTCGGTGGGGAGAGGAAGGGGGCCCACGTGGCAATGCCCACCCCAGACTGCTGCCCGGGGGCTCATGTGCCCCCAGGCTCACAGCTGAGCACCCCCACCAGAAAAGGAAGGCACCTCCAAAGCCACGCCAGCAAACCCAGCCAGGGGGTGGGGGGACTGAGGAGGTGTTTGTAAAGTGAATGGGGTGCCCACATAGCCAAAGTGAGGAGTGTCACATGCCTAAGGCTGGGATCTGCAGATGGGCAAATGCTCTTATGGGGAAGCTGCCAAGCAGTAAGAAGCAAACCCAGCCACGGTCTCCCACACCTGCCACCGTCTCCCACACCAGCCCCGCAGGCTGCAGCTACCGAAATATCCCCCCCCCCATCCCACCAGTCCACACGGGCTTGGCGTGAAAGGTCAGCTGCCCTCTCACCCTCCCCAGCAGCTCCAGGCAAACGTCTGCGTGGGGGAAGCAGGGCCTGCTTAGGACGCCCGCTACATGTTTTTGGCTCAAGCTAACCCTTAACCCATCTGGATTAACCCCCTTAATTCTTGCAGATAGCTACTGCTCAAGTTGGGTGGATATGGTTGAAAATAAAATACAACTGCTGCACTGTCTTCTTCGTGCTTGGGGGGGGGCAGCAGTGGGAGGGCTTCTAGTGTCCCGGCCCCACTGCTGGACCTCCTGAGGGCACCTGGTGTTTCTGGCCACTGTGTGACACAGAGTGTTGGACTGGATGGGCCATTGGCCTGATCCAACATTGGCTTCTCTCTTATATTCTTATGTTCTTCTCCCCTGCAGCAATATGCCATCTCGGGTTCTCAGGGGCTGAAGAAATCATGAATCGGATTCAGTTCTTCAGGCCGATAGAGTTTGGGCACATCTCTATTCAGCGGTAGGGAATCATAGCCAAAACCTTGTGCCGGCAAACTATCTTTACTCTTTAGAAGGGGAAGGGCTGTGGCTCCATGGAAGAGCCTCTGTTTTGCATGCAGAAGGCCCCATGTTCAATCCCTGGTAGCATCTCCAGTTAGAAAGCTCCAGGCAGCAGGTGATGTGAAAGGCCTCCGCCTGAGACCCTGGAGAGCTGCTGCCAGTGAGTAGACAAGGCTGCCCTTGATGGACCGAGGGTCTGATTCAGTAGAAGGCGGCTTCAAGTCCCCAAATGCCACAGCGCTTCCACCCTAGCCCATTTTAACTGCCTGCCCTCAGCACTGTTGGAAGGGGGATACTTACATATTCCCTACCCTCAATGTTGTGTTCCTGCCAATTGAATGCAGCTGAAAAAGCGGAACGTGTGTTATTATATTGTCCATTCTGTAAGGACATCCATTCCGCTTAGCTCACCCCTATTCTATCCAGGTTCCCAGGAAGATCTGAAGAATTCTACGCGTATCTCCTCCTCGCAGACCACTCCAAGGAGACCACCTCTAAGGTAGCCAAATTCGGTGCTGAGACTTTGTCCATAAGAAACCAGATATCCCAAACTTTTAAATGGCTTTTATGTATAATTAATTACAGCACAATAAGGTTGTGAATTTTAAGCTCTGTATATTAACTTTGTATTTGTACATAAACTGTGCTGTTAAGTTGCTGTTGATGGATCTCTTGATCGTAATAAACGTCGCATGCATGGCTGACTGGAGATCTTACACTGTTTGATTGCACAGGTATGTGCCTTGTTATCCACTATGAGTCTCAGCAATAAATAGAGTCAATAAATAAATATTGTTTATTGGGAAAGATCTGGCTAACACCAGGGAGCGTGTGTCATGAGATCTGACACAGAAAGGTAAGATGTTTTTAACATTTCAGAAACTGAGATCCAAAACTGAGTGGCATGTACACTACATCATAGGAAAGCCACAAAGTTCCATGGATTATACAATACCCAATTTGCAGTTACAAATGAGAGCATTTTTTTTTCAAGAGAAAAATTTGCAGAGGGCATGCCGGATCTCTTTGGTCTTGATGCTGTAGATGACGGGGTTCAGTACTGGAGGAACCAGAAGGTAGACGTTGGCCATGAGGGCGTGCAGGAGAGGAGAAGCGTGCTTGCCAAAACGATGTGCCATGGATACACCAATCATGGGGACAAAAAAGACCACCACCGCACAGATGTGGGAGACGCAGGTGTTCAGGGCCTTGAGGCGCCCTTCTTTTGAGGCCATGCCCAAGACCGTCTTGACAATCATCACGTAGGACAACAGGATAATTAGAGAATCGAGGCCAAAAGTAGAGAGAACAAGAAATAGACCGTATCGGTTGTTCACTGTGACGTCGGCACATGGGAGCCGGATTAAATTTGGGTGCAGGCAGTAGGGATGGGCTAGCAAGTTGGCTCCACAAAACGGCAGCCCCCTGAGGAGAATAGGTAAGGGGGCCATAATGACGACACTCCGCAGAGCAATCCCCAAACCTATCGTGGCGATCCTGGAGCTTGTCAGGATCGTGACATATTGGAGGGGGCTGTAGATGGCCACGAAGCGGTCAAAAGCCATGGCCCAGAGGACTCCTGAGTCCATGAGGGAGAAGCAGTGGATGAAGAACATCTGGGTGAAACACGCATCCATCCCGATCTCCCTGACGTCAAATATGAAGACGCTCACCACAGTGGGGAGGGTGGAGAGGGACACCCCCAGTTCACTCACAGCCAGCATGGAGAGGAAGAAGTACATGGGTTTGTGGAGGCTGGGAACTTCAATAATGACAAGAATGATGATCAGGTTTCCCAAAATGGCTGCCGCATACATGGTGCAGAAAGGGATGGCTAGCCAGAGTCCTTTGTCTTCCAGACCTGGGATGCCGACCATGAGGAATGTGGGCAGGACGGAGCTCTGGTTCCTGAGCATTCCAGCGAAGCCGAACGTTCTTCCATCGATTACCTGCATGGATAGAAACATAACAGATCACTCCAAAGCAGTGGGGGGGGGTAGCAGTGGGGCGGGCGACTGTGTGACACAGAGTGTTGGACTGGATGGGCCTTTGACCTGATCCAACATTGGCGTCTCTTATGTTCTTATATGTTCTTATGATATAAATATAGGGTTGCCAGGTCTGGATTGAAAAACACCTGGAAACTTTGGGGGTGGATCCAGGAGACGGGTTTGGGAAAGGGAGGGGTCTCAGGATGGTAGAATAATGATTTGAATCTACTATATCTCTCCCTGAGACTAGGGGTTCGCCAGTCCTAACAGTGACTATGCTCATGCTACCACTGTACTGGCAATAAAAGTATAACCTTTGAAGAACCGTGTACTCTGTTGCTTGACTGTGGATCCTGACAAATAAGAACATAAGAGAAGCCCATGTTGGATCAGGCCAATGGCCCATCTAGTCCAACACTCTGTGTCACACAGTGGCCAGAAATACCTGGTGCCATCAGGAGGTCCACCAGTGGGCCCAGGACAGTAGGAGCCCCTCCCACTGTTGACCCCCCAGCACCAAGAATACAGAGCATCCCTTGCCCCAGACCGAGAGTTCCTATCTATACCTTGTGGCTAATAGCCACTAATGGACCTCTGCTCCATATGCTTAGCCAGTTCCCTCTTATAGGAACATAAGAGAGAAGCCAATGTTGGATCACGCCAATGGCCTATCCAGTCCAACACTCTGTGTCACACGGTGGCCAGAAATACCAGGTGCCATCAGGAGGTCCAGCAGTGCGGCCAGGACACTAGGAGCCTTCCCACTGTTGCCCCCCGCCAAGCACCAAGAAGACAGAGCATCACTTGCACCAGTGTCCCTATCTATACCTTGTGGCTAATAGCCACTGATGGACCTCTGCTCCATATAAGAACATAAGAGAAGCCCATGTTGGATCAGGCCAGTGGCCCATCCAGTCCAACACTCTGTGTCACACAGTGGCCAAAAATACCACGTGCCATCAGGAGGTCCACCAGTGGGGCCAGGACACCAGAAGCCCCCCTACCGCTGCCCTCCCCTGGCACCAAGAATACAGAGCATCCCTCGCCCCAGACCAAGAGTTTCTATCTATACCTTGTGGCTCATAGTCACCAATGTTTCAGCTATGCTGCCATGGGGGTTGGGGAGTTCATTCTGTGTCTTGATCATTGCTATTGCATTCTTATCTCTGCTGTTCTGCCTGTGCTGAAACGCTTATCGCTTCAGATGTACAGGAGGAGGATGAATTGTCTGGATGTCTCCTATGTACCGTGAGAGACTCCTGCTTCCCAGCTTTTGCCACCTAACGGTTTCCTAGCTGGTCCCGCGTGCGGGAGGGTAGCTAATTGGCCCATGCCATTGGGGGGGGTACATACGAATGCCCTATATCCTATTAGGCTCTAGTGGCTGTGGCCATTCTTAACAGTGCATCTATAGCTTTGCAATAAAAGTATAACCGTTCCTGAATGCGTGTACTTCGTTGTTAGCTGTGGGTTCTGACACAATGGACCTCTGCTCCATATGCTTATCTAATTCCCTCTTGAAGCCATCCATGTTTGTAGCCGCCGCCACCTCCTGGGCAGTGGGTTCCATGTGTTGCTCACAATGCCACAGAGTCCACCCTCCAAAGCAGCCCTTTTCTCCAGGGGAGCTGATCTTTGTCAGTTGGAGATCTGTTGCAAAAGCGGGAGATCTCCAGGCCCCACCTGGAGGCTGGCAACCCTATATAAATAAGACAAGGCAGGAATGCTAGGAAAAGGCGCAGCCAGCAGGAAAAGCGGAAGACCCAACATGAGACGGATCGACTTGCTCAAGGAAGGCACAAAGGCCCTCTGTTTGCAAGAGCTGAGCAATGCTGCTAAAAAGAGGGCATTGGGGAGGACGTGAATTCATAGGGTGGCCTTAAGTTGGAAGCAACTTGAAGGCCTCTGACAGACACACACACACACGCCAATGTTCCCTCTAAGCTGTGGAGTCTTGTGAGCAAAAATTCTACTTTGTGAGCTGCCGGCATTAAAGTTGTGAGCAAGCGATTACTTGGCTACTGCAGAAGTTAGTTTGCCCTGGAGTCATCCTTCCTGAGCTATGACAAAAATGTGTGAGCCGGAGGCTAAAAAACGGTGAGCGAGCTCACACTAACTCAGCTTAGAGGGAACACCGACACACACACACAGAGCGGATTGCTGCCCCTTCCCAGCCCGGGCATCTCTGGGGTCCGTCCCTCGTCCAGTCTCCAGCATCGATTCCCTCCCACCCGAGGAACTTTTGCCTCATCCCCTGCGGCAGAACAGGGATTGTCCTCTGGTCTTATCTCTCACTCACCAAGGCCGACGTCTCTCCTCCTCCCTGCACGATGCTGGGGGCACTGAGGCCAGGGTTTCCGTGAGGTGGCCTTTGTACCATCGCACATCCTCAGGGGAGGAGTGCAAGAAGGCCACCGGGGAGCCGCCGTGGACTTGCAACAGGCCCATTAGCTGGCTCTGCTGACCCCAGCCCTCCGGGGGGGGCAGCCAGCAAGGGGAGGCCCTCCGGGCCACAATGCGCCGGTTTTCTCAGGGCGTGTTTGCACCTCACGGAAGGGTCAGGTCTTTCCCGGTCCTTCTGCTAACTGACGTGTGAAGAGGAGCTGTGTTCTGGAATGGCCGCAGTGGAGGTGACTTTCGTGGTGATGTGTGGTTATCTTCGCTCACCGCCCAGCCTGTTTTCTAGTTGAGCCACATTTGCTTCTGGCCATAAATAAGCAGGCGGGCCCCAAAAGCATGGTTCAGTGTTCTGGATCGGGTGGGGGAAGGGGGAGGCGTGTACTTTTAAAACACACTTGTGGGGGGGAAAAGAAGAAGAGGAGGAGGAGGACCCAGCCTGTTTTCTAGTTGAGCCACATTTGCTTCTGGCCATAAATAAGCAGGCGGGCCCCAAAAGCATGGTTCAGTGTTCTGGATCGGGTGGGGGAAGGGGGAGGCGTGTACTTTTAAAACACACTTGTGGGGGGAAAAAGAAGAAGAGGAGGAGGAGGAGGAGGAGGAGGAGGAGGA